TGTGTGTGTGTAATGTGTGCGTGCAAGGAGGAGCTTAGTGTGATGTCAAAAGATTCGGGGCTTCGCTTGCCAAGCTCCCTGGGTCTCTCTTTATGGGCAGCAGCGACCCCTGCTGGGTCTCAAATTCAACTCCATATGCGATTTGCATCGGGAGAGGCAAAAAGGGACGCGCCCCCTTGACCTATGCTGAAGGGAGAGACTTTCTGCACCTTAAATACAGCGAAGTGTGTGTGTGTGTGTGTGTGTGTGTGTGTGTGTGTGTGTGTGTATACCTATTGTAATCAGCCTTCCCATTCGCAGGAGCAACTGCAGTGAGCTCCGTAGTTACCCATCCGAGGGCCACAGGGTAAGGCCAGCTGGGGGGGCGGGGTGGGGGTTGGTTCTTCCCAGCCACACCTGAAGATCTAGGGCAGGGACCATCGAATGTAAGTGTGCATCGGCATCACCTAGGGGTTGTTACAACTCAGACTGATGGGTCCTGCCACAGACTTTCTGATTCAGCACATCTAGGGCAGGGCTCCAGATAGCGTGTGCCTTTCTGACAAATTCCCAGGTGGTGCTGCTGGTCTGGGGACCACTCTGTTCAGGTGAGTACAGGAATGGGCTTCTTTCCTCCCTTCTGGACTCAAATGTGTGACATTTGTTTTCTGTAGAATGAGTGTTCCCAACTCTACAAGAAGAGAAGCTGGGTGAGATGTTTCATTGTTGTGTTTATTCTGGTTGTCACGACTGGTAACAGAGGACTCACAGCCGCAATAGGCAAGGGAGGGCTGCTTGGGTTACTATTGTTTATAGCGTGTTCTCCAGTTGTGCCGAGAGATCACAACCAGTCAGCAGAGAGTACATCCCCTCTAGAGGAGTGTCCTTAAAACTGACACAGCACAATTCCCTCCCAATTAAATGTTTGGTTATTTTCCTTTCGCACCAACAGTTTCCTTGACTTGAGATACTTGCTGTATAAAGTATCTAAACCAATTTGCAAGAGGGTTCTCAATGGCTCCCATGGTACTTCCCACCTGGCACTTTTTCAGACAACCCAGGACCCAATTCACAGTGCACACAAGAGTCCCTTTCCCCCAGGACCTTAGTCGTTTACAGGTTTCTGTTAAAGACCTTTCACCAGCAGCTTCTCTTTATCCAGCAGCCATGCAAATAGCCGGTGGCTATATCCAAATTAGAAGCAGGCACAAAAAGAACTACTAGGAAGAATTTGTCTCTGTGGCATTTGATGTGCTGGATTTGTGTGCTTTCATTTTAGAAAATAGGCTTCTAGGCAACTGGGACGGTGCTTTTTACAGCTTTTTATAGTGCCTGACGCCGCAGGCAAACATGGAGACTGCCTGATTCCCGAGCCACCGAGATGAGGGAGGTCCACTGGCTCCCCTTGCTCTCCCCACGCCCAGCTAGGTTCTGTACAGATACCATAGCAAACCAAGGCGGTTCCCCAAACCTCCCTATGTCTTCACAATTCTCCAGCCACAACACTGGAGGAGTCTGTGTCATTAAGAATGCACAGCTACTCTTTACCCTTTCTTTCCGGAAGCCGGAGAGGTTGCAGGATCAAGGAGACAGCATCCTGGCTCAGAGATTGATTAAGTACAGGGGCGTTAGACAGATAAGTGAAATATTGACTATACTGGGAGCCAGGTTTCTTAGTGTTGAAGATGGAGTTTACAAATATGGAAAGAAATAAAACTATTAAGAACCCCAAGGTGTTGGATTGGATTAAAAATGAATGCAAAATCATTATATATGGATATATATATGTACACACACACATATACATATCTATATTAGTACATACATATATACACCATAGCTATCTTCTCTCAGAGGCTAGAAGTAATAGATACATCCAGTGGCCAGAGGATCTTGGCTTCGAAGTGCCATATGCTTTTAAAAGGAACCAGGGCCAATTCCAGGGCTTGGGCTGGGAAAGTGCAAAGTAAGCTTGGAGGGAAGTGCTCAGAGCGTGGCGAGAGCATGCCAAAAGGATGCATAAGCCAGCCGGATGGGGCTCCCACTGGCCAAATCTGGGACAATTTGAGCATCAAAATAAATAATGATAGTAACTGATTCTAACTGATTTAACCCAGAGGTTAAAACAAGAATCCATGAATCCATGCTAATATGAAGGGATAAATAAATAATGATAGAATCTATAATAATAAAAACGTAATATGCTAATTAGGCCCCACATCCTAAAGACCGAAGGGACATCCTTCCAGTTGTCCTTCTGGACGACCTTCTGCACAAAGCTGGGACTGTGAGGGCCGAGACAAGCCACTGTGGCTGTGAGGGCCGAGCCCCTTGCACGAATTTCGTGCATTGGGCCTCTAGTAAATAAATAAATGGGGAAGGAAGGATATCTCTTCCTTGTGGAAGAATGTCAACTAAGATGGATGGAAATAGAAAGTCACCCTTTGGCAATGTTGTTTGGCTCAGGCAGGAGTCCTTAGTGGGTGCTAAGGTGTGCGGGTAGGTGTGTAGATGCTTGATGTGAAGCAGGATGTAGCCTAGTCTTAAAGTAGCTTCTGAAAAGTACTTATTGATGACAAGATGGGAAATGGTTAATTTACCGAAGAGAACCCTGGGAGACACCAACTTGACCAAGTGATCAGGATGAGCATAGCCAGCAGGAAAGCTGGTCACATCACGTCCTTCCTGTTATGATGTGCGGAGAAGAGCACAGCATCTTTTCTGTCACATTCCTGCGAAGAATGCATGGCCTGGATCTGGACCTTCTGGTGGGCCCAGAATGAAAGGCGTCCCACAAAATGAAAAGTCTGTATTCTTCAAAACTCTTATAGCTTATGAGAGTCAGAGAAAGATGGAAGAACCAATCGATCCAAATTAAAAGAGACTTAAGAGATGTGACAACTAAAAGCAACAAATGATGCTGTACTGGCTCCTGGACCAGGCAGGAAAAATAAACAGTTGGCAAAAATTGAGTTCAGTTTGTGAATTGGATGATAACACTTTATCAGTGCTGAATTCTGACCTGGATGTTCACCTATGTAGAATGTCCTTGTGTGGGAATATTGCCCTTAAGCAAGGATGGGGAACATCCACCAGAGGGCCAAACAAGGCCCGCGAAATCATTTGGTCTGGCCCTGCCAAGGCATTAGGGGTGAGTTAATTAAATGTTTGACCAAATATAGCAGGCTGATTTTTAAGTGGATAATTTTGTATGGCCCATGATGGTGTTATAAATATCCAAATGGCCCTTGGCAGAAAAATGGTTCCCCACCCCTGCCCTAAAGTATTTAGTAGTGATGAGGCATTCTGTCTGTACCTTGTTTTCAAGTGGTTCAGGAAAAAATAATGATAATCCGTAAGATCTTGGTTTCTACTACCCATTACTTCAGTGAAGCTGAAATCCAATTCATGATAAAATAGAAAATCAAAAGCCCATTATTTGGGGGGGGGGGTCAGGTGGGGGATATTAATCTGTTGCCACCTTTGTGCTAATGATTCTCTTCCAGCACAACTGCTCCTTTGCTCCTGTAGCTTCACTCGAACCACCGAGCTGGGTATACCAGAGGGAATAAAATGGATAAGGTTCTCCTTTTCATGGAGTTTACATTCTGAGATGGGAGAAGTAAAAAAAAAATTAAGTTTTAGATTATGTCAGAAAGTGCTATTAAGACCAAGGCATCAGACTGAGGGAGGGGGACCTATGTTATATAAGGTGCTATTGTACATCAGGATCAGCTGCTCTGATGAGGTGACTTCAGAACAGAATCCTGAAAGAAGGGAGGGGATCCATGTGCATGTTTGGGGGCCTGGTTGTACCAGGAAGAGGGAACCATAAATGCGGCAGCCTTGAGGTAAGTTTGTGCTTAATGTGTTTGAAGAACAGCAAAGAAACCATGGAGGATGGAGAGGTGTCAGAGAAAGAGTGAAGGAGATGAGATTGGGGGTGGGGTGGGGCAGGGGCAGAGAGCCCATGGGGCCTTATAGTCCAGGGTAAGAACACTTTGGCTTTTAGTCTGGGGTGGGTGGAAAAACCTTTGGAGAGGATTTTCCCTTAAGGAGCGAAGTGACACAGTCTGACC